AAAAAAAAAAAAAAAGAAAATACCTGGGGCTCCTATATGGCCTCAGCCTATGGAGCAGCAGCATTTTACCAGTGCACACTACTATGGCTGGGCCAACTTTTTAAATTAAAACAAAACAAAACAAAAAGACACCGCTATACATGCTTATTACAAAACATTTTTACAACAGAGAAATATAAAGGGTTTTTTTTAAGTACTATATTTTTAGCACCCCCAAAATAACTACTGTTAAAATGCTGGTATATAATTTTCTAGGGACCAGTGGCTGGCATAATGACTATGTCACTGGACTCCCATGTAGTTGACTGTGGTTTGAGTCCCAGATACGGTGGCTTAAACTCACACTGGGCGCATGTTTGTACGTGCCCAAGATCCCAAGAGGAGAATGGAACAGAAAGGATTGTGGTGTGGCCATCCCCCTGGTGGGGGTGATTTCTCGCTTTCTCTCTGTCCCTCTCTTTCTGGAGAGTGCACATGCTCTATAGCAAATAAATAAATAAATAAATAAATAAATAATTTTCTATTTTTTTTTTTAATTTTTAGTTTTGCTATAGGGCACATGCACTTACTGGAGATATACACATACAGATAGGGAGAGAAAAAGTGAGAAACCACCCCTGGGAGAATGGCCACACTGCAATCCCTTCTCCATTCTCCTCTGGGCACTTTGTGTACACACATGACATGCACCAGGTGTGCTTCTGAAGTTACTGGACACGAGACTCAAGCTGTGCATTTGGCCATGTGGGATCCAGCTGCCTTATCCAGCATGCCACTTGGTTGGCCCAGTTTTCCAGATTTTTAATTTTTGCATGCATACATATAGTGATCTGTGTAACAAACGAAATAAGATGTATTTTTACTTTAAAAAAATTTAAGAGAGATTTTGCTATAGGAGAGACAGAGAAAGAGAGACAGGGGGACAGAAAGGGAAAAATCACCCCCTGGGGGGATGGCCATGCTGCAATCCCTTCTCTTCTATTCTCTTCTGAGGATTTTGGGTACATGTGCACACGTGCCTAGTGTGTTTTAAGCCACTGGATCTGCAACTTGAACCATGGTCGACTATGTAGGAGTCCTGCGGTGTAGCTATTATGCCATCTGCTCATCCCAGAAGATGTATTTTTGAATGTTAAAAGCCTTTTTTCTAGGGAGCCAGCAGATGGCATAATAGTTATGTCATCGGACTCCCACATAGTCGCCTGCGGTTTGAGTCCCAGACCCGGTGGCTAAAAACTCATGCCAGGCACGTGTGCGTATATGCCTAAGATCCTGAGAGGAAAATGGAGGAGAAGTGATTGTTACATGGCCATCGCCCCCAGGGGGTAATTTCTTGCTGTCTCTCTGTCTTTCTGGAGAGCACGCACACCCTATAGCAAAAATCTCTCTCTAAAAAGCATATATATATCTCAAAGGAAATATTACTTCTTCAACTCTACATGCACTTTTGTCATTTGGTCCATCATAAGTCTGATAGGTAGAAACAGATTGTTAAAGCACAAGGTCATATATAAATATGGCAAAGTAGGACTAAACCTGAGCTCTGTCTCATTTATACTGTAGGCCTCAGAAAATTACTGGAGGTTTTAAGGGATATGGTCATATATCTCTGATGACAGGGTAGGGCAGGTATAAGAGGGCTATAGTGGAGGAGGGAAGAAATGAGGGAGACTGGATTAGGATTAGGTGGTGAGTGGGAGGCAGACAGATTCAAGACATGGTTTTGGCATGAAAATGGCCAGGACTTAAAAGCATTTAGGGTGACCAGTGTTCGTTCCTGGGCCAATGAATTAGCATTGTTCCCTGGTTCCACCTTCTTCCTCCAGGGTGCTACCTGAAGCCTCTGAGGAGCTGAGGCTGTTTCTAGTTCTAGAACATGCCATCTTTAGGAGGAGGGGATCCCCTAGAAATGGGACAAACCATTGTGATGGTGAGGGAACTGTTCTGACTTGATTGCAAGTGCTTCACTTTGGTGGGGTTTAAGTCTTTTCTGACCACTCCTATTTCTTCTCCACTTTAAAGTCTTTCAAACTATGGCAGGTTCCCATACCTCAACGAACAGGAGAGAGGCCTTCTTTGTACACTCTCTCCTACTCTTGCAGTCCTTGGAAGTCAGAACAGCCCCAGAGTAAAATCCTCTGGGTCTGGTCATGAGGCTCTCTTTCCTGGTAGCCTGTGGAGTGAGCAAGATCTCATTCTTTCTTTGGGTCTAGAGGTGAGCATGGTTGGCCTGCACCACTTCTAGCCCCTGGCTGGAGAGTTAAGGCTATGTGGGTGGTGACCCAGGGTGGGACTGGCTTGGCTGGACTCATTACAGATGGGGTTAGAGAGGAAGGGCAAGAGGACAATTTGATCCATCCCAGAAGGGCCAGTGAAGCTAAGACCAACTGCCATCATGGCCTATGAACTCCAGAGACCCCTGTGGTGGTGGGTTCCAGCATGGCAAAGTGGTTGCCTTTATCAATGAGAAGATGGCCAGGCAGATGAAAAGCCACAAGCTTTGTCCTGCGATAAGGTGGAAGAAAAGCGTAGGGCTGTCCTGGAGGACACAGATATGCCCAGTGAGGCCAAGGAGGCCTGCACTTGGGACACCCTGGCCCTGCTCATGTGCTTCACCCACAGGCATAAGGATCAGTGGCTGCATGACTTCGCCAAGATGCACAGGTCTGCCTGCATGCAGGTTTTGACCGCCAACGTGAAGGAGCTCAACCTGAAGGAGATGGAGCACAAGGCAGGGGCCTTTGCTATGGCAGGTGCAGGCCTTCCTGAAGGAGGTGCACCAAGAGCAGGACCTGCTAGAGTGAAAGCTTCTCTGGATCATATTACCCAGACTGGGTCATGTCCAGGGCCTGACCAGCTTTGACTTCTGCCCCACCCTCCTCCTCTGGCCTTGTCTTGTTTTTCTCTTCCCTCATGCCCTTGCTGCCCTTCTCCTTCCCCATATCCCATTCTTTCCCTCCTCCACCCTTCTTTTCCCCACTTCTACCTCCACCCTCAGGCCCTTTATCCTCTCTACCCCTTACCTTCCTTGTCCTTCAACCTTCCCACTTCCACCCTTCTCCCCCCTTCCCTCACCTTTTTTTCTTGAGAGAGAGATTTTTGCTATAGGGCACATGTGCTCATCAGAGAGACAAAAAGCAAGAAATCACTGTAGGGAGGGAGGGGATGGCCACGCTGCAATGCCGTCTCCTCCATTCTCCTCTGGGGATCTTGGGTATGCACGTACATGTGCCTGGTAAGAGTTTTAAGCTACCAGGTACTAGCTGTGGTAGACTACGTGGGAGTCCAGCAACATAACCATTATGCCATCTACTGGTCCTCTCCCCTCACCTTTTATTTCCCACACTCCCTTCCTTCCCCCGCCCATCTCCCCTCTTCCTCTTCTGCCTTTCTTCCCCCGACTCCTTCCATTCCCCACTCAGGGTGCCAGCCCAGACCCGGTGGCTTACACTCAGACCGGGTGCACATGTGTGCATGCCCAAGGTCCCAAGTGGAGAGTGGGGGAGAAGGGATTGTGGCATCACCATCTCCCCCAGGGGGTGATTTCTTGCTGTTTCTCTGTCTCTCTCTGTCTTTCTGGCGAGTGCATGCGCCCTATAGCGAAAACTTCTCAAAAAAATATTTGGTAAACTGTTAATGCTGGTGTTGAGGCTGGGAACTTAATCCAGTTATGGCATTAAGAAGTGTGGCCTTTGGGAGACAATTAGGATTACGTAAGGTCACCAGCGTGGGGCCCCTGTGATTGACTCCTGGTAGCTTTATAAGAGACAGATAGGCATGCACACTCCTGCATTTTCACTATGTGATGTCCTGCACCATTTCATGCCTCTGCAGAGAGTTCCTACCAACTAGAAGACCCTTACCACATGCAGCTTCTTGACCTTGAACTACTCAAACTGTGGGTTAAATAATCTCTATTTGTTATATTGGGTCACTGGAAAAATCGTGATGTAAGTTTGTTTTTCTATGCAAAAATGCATCATGACTTTTCCAACAACCTAATAAACTACCCAGACTCAGGTATTCAACTATTAATCAACAGAACAGACTAAAACAGGGTAGGTGGCAGGATGGGGTGAAAGGGGTAATGGAAAGAGAAGGTATATATTGGGAATTTGGGGAAGAGAGACATAGACACAGGGACAGAGACATGTTTTAATGACCCTCTGTGTTCCAGCACATCAGCACTCAATACCCCAGGCTGCTGCAGCTTCTGTTTGTGTGTGTGTCTCTCTCTTCACCCTAGTATCGGGTGATCCTGGGCAGCCACGTGTGTAACACCCCACTCTTACCCTACCTAGGCCCTAACTGGAGAAGGAATGAACATTTGACCCTTCCTTAGCCAATCAGATTCTTCCACTAGAGAATGTGAACAGAGAGGAAATTCCACAGTCAGGATGCTTATGGGACAATGAAGCAGTGTGATACTGGAGTTGAGGCCAGGCCCTATCTATGGAGGAGCAGACTAAGTCCTTAACAGAGGCAAGTATCTTGGAGGACACAAGCATGAAAATCTCAGGAGCATATAGGTACAGAGAAGTGTCGATCCTGTAACTCCAGAGAGATGGATAAAATAGTTCTTCACCACTTTTAAATTCCTGCAATCGTGGACAAGTGAAAATCCACTTTACACACATCCCCTTTTCTCTAGGCTAACTTGAATGGGTTTCTGGTCTGGGCAACAGATTATTTTAAGTCAGAAATTGGTACCAGGAGAATAATTTCAAACAACAGACCATCAAAATGTTGGAACTGGTTAGGGAGTTGCACTGGAGTGTGGCAAAAAATGGGGATTCCTGCAACCCAAGAGTCCCCAGGAATGAAGAACAGAGAACTCACGCCACTGCCAGAGAGTCTGCCAATAGTGATGGATAGTGTCCAGAAGGTTATCTGGTCTAGACCATGGGTCAAAGCATGGTACTGTCTTGAGAGATTCTTTCCCCTAACCCACCACCAAGATAAATGAGAGAAAGGAATCTTACCACAACACTCTCAATGAATTCAGAAACGTGAAATATATAGAACAGAAACACATCTCAATGGGAAATCAACTTCTAGAGAAAGAGGGAGAAGTAGAGAAAGATGAGAGTGGGTAGGAATAAGGGTGGGTTGGAGGATGGTCTGCTTCACCCTCCCAATGAAAATATGCTGTGTTGATGGGGGCTACACAATCGGCATAGCCCATAGGTAGAAAGGTAGGGAGGAATTATACCTGGACACAACTGGAGGAGCCCTTGACAGGGTCTGGGAACCCAGAAACTGAGAAGTTGTCATGGCCCTGGTATATCTCTGCAGGTACTGGATATGACTTTGGGCTGTCTTTTATTGGGAAGGGTGTAGTTATTGGGATTGGGGTCAGCTCGCTTGCCTGCATTATTCACATGTGTCTTTAGGCTTGTTTATGAAGGCGGGGGATCTTTCAAAAGTTCATGGAAAATACACATTATGGAAAAACTGCACAGGTTTTTTTTTTTTTTTGAAAAAAATTTCCATTTTCCATCAACTTTCTGTCCTATTCTTCCAGAACAGAGTTTGCAAGCTTCAGTACTCTTGACATTTCAAGTTGAGTAATTGTTTTTTGTAGGATGTTTAGCAGAATCCCTGGCCTCTACCTACTAGGATGCCTGCAGCACCCACTCCCTATATCTCTAGTTATGACAACCAAAAATGTCTCACAATATTGTCACATGTCCACTAGAGAGCAAAACGGTCCCCATTTGGAAACCATGAAGGCAATGAGCAGTCAGAACAGGGGAAGAATCAGAAGAGGTAATGGTCATGTAGGATGAGGGGCCCCGTAAGATAGGAGCTGAAGACTGTCATTGGGTTTGACATTTACAGTGGATCCTGGAGCAGATCCAGGGAGTGATGAAGGCACAAGCCAAACTGCATGACTGGGGAGTGAGTGGGATACAAGGAATTAGAGCCAGTGAGAAGAGGTTCTTCAAGGACTCTTGGCTATGAAGGGATATACAGTTGAGAAAGAGTTATTTTGATATGGAAGAAACTTGAGCAGTGGGGAAAGAGAAAGATAGATACAAAAACGAAAAAGAAAAACCTTAAAAATGCAAGAAATATGTGAAAGAATGAGATCCTGCTTGTTGTACTAGAGGCATAGTCACTGTATTGTTAAATAAAAAAAACAAATTCACACGATAAGGTCAATTAAATAAAATCAAATAAAATACATACCCCCCAAAGTACATACAGTAAGTCTGTTCCATGCATGTTATACATTTTATAGATTTATGTTTACCATATGTTATGGACTTATGTTTGAATAAGCATAGCAAAAGGTCTAGAAAGACATTCAGCAAACAAGGCAAATTACTTAGGGAGGGTGGGCTCAGGGCTAGGATGGGAGGTAGTGAGGTATGGTGATATAGAGTAGGGTGGAGTATGGGACAGATGGATGGAGGACCTTGATTTCTTCTTAAACTTCTGTGTTGCGAAAGTAAAATATTTCAATGTTCACCCAAACACAAAAATTAAAGGAAGTGAATTTACTGGTTTGGGTGGGTTTGGCAAAACCATCTCTTCCTTTGGGACTGGAGAGGAGGAAAAAAGACTGATCTATCAATATGTGGCAAAGGGGTAGGAAACCAAGGAAACTCTGATTTGTCTGTTCATGTTGTCTGAAGCACCTGAGAGTGAGTGAAGACACAAGGCAGGGCAGGGCAGGGGAGGGACTGCTTTGAAACTTCTGGAGAATACCTGGGCAAGGCCAGGCAGGAATGGAGAAAGAAGTGGATCATCAAGCGACATGATAGGACCTACCTGAAAGAAAATTGAAAGAGAGGACAGAGGGAGACTGGCAGATAAAGGAAAGGTGGAGGTAGATGCAGGAGAGATACCAGACAGAAATCACCCAAATGTTACAACTTACCACCCACTCATACCAACAGAAACAGCATATACAAAGAGGGGAAAAAGGAAGGGTAAGCAGAGATCTGTGTCTGACTTCTTTCCCCTTCTAGATTAGTAGCATATCATTTCATTTGCTGTTTCAGTTTGAACAAGCTGAGCACTAGTTTTACCTTTCTTTCAGATACCAGCTGGAAGTGCAGTTTCTAGCAGCCCAGTCACCTACAGATACCTACAAGTTTAAAGCAAAGTTCAACTTACTTCAGGTCCTTGATTTTACAGTATGGATTACGCAGTGCTTGGCAGAGGAAGTGCAGCCGTGACATTGGTAAATTGCGCAGCTGGAAGGACCTAAAAGCGACAAGAAAATAAAAACACTTTAAGACAAAACTTTGAATAAAAGGCTTATTTTTGGCTTCTATTACTGTGTCATTACTAACTTACTCCTTCCAAAAACTTTAGCGGGTATTACTCCATTTTGCAGAAATGGAAGTTCAGGCATAGAATGTTAAGTAATTTGCTCAAGGTCATGTAGGCAGGTACAGAGCTGAGGTCATTACTCAGGTCTGACTCTAAAGCCATGTTACTATGTGCCAAGTCCCAGGGTAAGTACTTTACATACACAAAATATCTAGTCCTTAACCCAGTGAGAGGTATTTGAATCACTGTTTCGCAGGTGCTCTGAGAAGTCAAGTGACTTGCCCAAGCTACCTTTATGATATAACTGATTGCTGGTTGTCAACACTAATAGAAGAATTGATGACAATAATTGAAAACCAGGAAAATTCAAGAGTAAACTCTCCCTTAGCCAACATGCCTGAGAAAGGAGTATTTTGGATTAAATTTCTGTTAAGAGTTTAAGTTCTACAAAGGCAGTGAGGGTTAGGGGTGAGTACTTCATCTAAAGCTAAACTATGGAAACCCAGCATGAATCAGAAGTCTTTTTGTTTCATCAGTCTTTTAAATCTCTCAAATGTATCAACCTATTATTTTACTTTATAAATATAGCTGGATTGAAGCTGTCATTAATTCATCAAGACCTGGTGGCCAAGGTCCTTTGAAAAGAGTTCACTAACCTCTTCTACCCCTTACCCCCTCTAGTTCCAAACACAAACTCTTGCTGCCCCCCTCCCCCACTTCCCTCAAGCACACAAACTCCATGGGGGTTTCCACTTCCATGCTGCTGCTCAATGGGGAAGTGCAAATTTAAGAGGAAAGACTTGGGATAACTCAAGTAGAGCCTTCTGCTCACTCTCCTCTCCTCAAGTTCCCCTATTCCTCAGGTCTCCTCACAATTAAGGGAGAGTTATTAATACTGAAAATGGATTTTTGGCATTTTATAAATAACATAGACATTAAGTCTTCTTTTCTGCAGTCAATAAATAAATCAATAGAACTTTATGTTATAGTGTATAGAGTCCATATTATAAAAGTGGCTTACCTAAGCATCTTGAAATTTCAGCTTTAAAAAAATAAAAAACCTTTTTTTTTATTTCCATGAGAGAGGCAAAGACAGAAAGACAGGTATCCCCAGGAGGGTCCTTACACCTTGATCCACCTCCAGTCAGAGGTGGCAGAGATCAGGGGCACATCCGTGCACCTTCCATGCTCAGGGAGGTCCCAACAGGATGCAAATCTAGGACCTTTCCCATCAGGGTCCAGTTGCACTACTACTCCACCACCACCTGGCCCCTGAACTTCAGCGTTTGATTCTCTGTGAAGTTGCAGGTTTTGATGGAGAGTTCAGGCTTTACAGCAAGATACATAGGCGCATAGCTCTGGCCCTTACTAATCCGGAGATCTTTGATGTCACAGTGAAAAAAAAAAAAAAAAACATGTACTGGAGGGTGACAACCAATCTAATGTTAAGTTTACAACCTTTACCAGAATGGTCCCATACATATCAGTAGCAAAGTCCTCAATGATAATCTTGATGACTTTACACTTTATAAGGCACAGCTACAGCATGACAATGAAGACTGATTGATATACACAGAGTTAAGGTTGCTAGTGCAGTGTCTGGTCCATAGTTACTGCTCAAAACTGTTAGCTTTCCCTCAGTGTCTACATAGGCCAGTGTTCAATACATGGAAGATATTCAATAAATCCTTATTGTATTATTAACATAAAATATGGAAGACTGAGATGATTCACTTTATTAGCAATGATAGAAATGATCATGTGCCTGAATACATGAAATAAACAAGTAGGAATATCATTTGTGAAGGCCAAAAACTGGAGGAAAGACATGAATATACTCACTGATTAAGCATCAAGGCTGGTGGCATGAATGCTGAGGCTCGCTGTTCCTCCTCAAATCCAAGTAGGTGCTGACACTTCAGAGATACTGACAGGTGATTGTGACTGCTTTTAACACAGAATGACATGGCTAGAATGTCCATTTTTGTATAGGTAGGTTGAAGCAATATAATCGACTGTAAATCATCAATTATCCTTTTTGCATATTCTTCTTCCTGAATCTCATACAAACAGTGAAACAAGTCCACTGGCTCAATCTGTAACCTCGAAGACTTATCTTTTATCTCTTTCTCAGTCCATTTCAGTAACTCCTCTCGAAGTCCTGGAGAGACTTTTCTTCCAAAAGTTGTTTCCACAGTCTTCCCTTTTCCTTTATGTAAGAGGCCAAATAAGAATTGTATCATTAGTGAGGAAAAACCTTTTCCATACTGTTGGAATATTTCTTGCCATGTTTTCCCCAAATGATCAAAAAACATCCAGCTGTTGTCATTCTTCAGGGCATAGAACACAGCTGTCAAGAACTCCTGGAAACTGTAGTGAAGGAAAGTGTAGACGTTGACACCTCCTTCAGCTTTTTTCAAAAAGTGATTGAGGAAAGTGCAGTTGGTATCATACACTCCTATCCCATGTCTCCTGAGGTCACTGACTGCAAAAAGAACTTGATGGTTCTGAAGTCCCTCTGCAGCCAAAGAGCAAAGGCCCCACAGACAACTCTGTCCCTTCCACACTGAGATACCTGTAAGGGTTTTGAGGCACTTGGAGAAGTAAAACAGATACACATCAGTCATGGTCTGAAGTGACCTCAAAAGAGTCTTGTCACAATCTCCCTGTGACTGCTGGACACTGCATATCATCCAGGAGATGATGGGAAGAGAAGACATAATGTCAAGGCCTTCATTTTCTCGCAGGCCATAAAAGAGTTTCATTGCTGCATTGGCAGCTGAAAACTGACTCAAGAAATAGGCTCTCTTTTCAGCATCTGTAAACCATAAGATCTCTGCCTTGATAGGTTGTTTTAACAGAGAGTGGAGCTTCTTCATGGCTGTAGGCCGGGCAGTTATCAGCAGGGAGGATTCAGGGAACAGTTTTTTCCTCACAAAACTGCACAAGAGGGTCTCTACTGGCTTCCTTTCCTGAGGGTTAGCAATAAGATCCTCTTCTTGATCACCCACAGGGTACTGAAGCTCAGGAAATCCATCAAGAATGAACAGAAGCTTCTCTGGGTATACAAGAATAATATCCAGGATTGGTCCATTTATATCTTGAAAAGTGTTAGTGATCAGGTCAGCAGCACTAAGGAGAGCCACATGACTTATTTCTCTGCAGTTGATGTAGATGAGATAGTCAAATCTGCCTGGAGTAACCCTTCCTGCTGCCCAGTCAAACATGAACTTGTGCACCACAGCTGTTTTCCCAATTCCAGCACATCCCTGAAGCACCACGGTTTGGGATGAGCTAGAGCCCTCTTCATCAGGATCAAATACATGTTCCATCTCAATAAAATGATCTTGCTGAGGAATTCCACACGGTGTCTTTTCTGATATACCATGTTCTTTTACAATAAGCAGTCGTGACTCTATATGCTTGCCATGGTGATAACATTTATCAACTCCTATTTTTAGGTATTTTTCTTTCAAATATTTTCTGAATACTTCTCGGTAATCTAATGAGGTGACACCAAGAGTTAGTAACCACAGAATCGTAGACAACAAACAAACAACTCTAATATCACCATCACTATCGTCTCTACTTGGATGTCTCAAAGGCTCCTCAAACTTTACATGTCTAAACTCAAGTTCCTGATTTCTACACCACCACCCACCCTACCATCCTCCAAACAACCTTCCCTGGGCATCTTAATTAAATGGTGCCATCTTGTTGCTCAGAAAAACATTAGGAGACATTCTGTATTTTTTTTTCCCTGTAATCCTCTACATTCAATCACTTAGTAAGATCTATCATTTATATGTCCAAAACAAGCCTCAAATCCATTTATTTACCACTATGTCCTCAAATATCATTCAAGATCAAGGCACTATCAAGTTTTTTTCCTGGAATGCTGAAAAGGTCATGACTTATTTTTCTATGCAAAAATGTGTCGTGACTTTCTAAACAACCCAATATTTATCTACTCTAGCCCATATACTGGAACCTCTTCACAAAGCAGCCAAAGTGATCTACGAATATCAGTTAGATAATATCATTGCCTTGCTCAAAACAGTTCGAGATTTTCATCAAACTTGATATAAAATCCAAAATCCTTACCTCATTCTGCAAGGTGTTCCATGATCTGGGCCCCACCTTTCTTCCTCCCCTGCCTCATTTATATAATTCTCCTTCTCACTCCCTATGCTAAAGCCACACTGGTTTAGTTTACCGAAAACATCATGATCTTTTTAATTACAGGACCTTAGCACTAGCTATTTTCTCTCCTGTTCCACCATGAAGAGTTCCTTCCCATCTCTATCTCAACTTATATATTACTTCCTAATGAGGACAAAAGTCCGAATGTTTTGGGAACCAGCAGTTAGCGTAATGGCTATGTCGCTGGATTCCCACGTAGTCGACCGCGGTTCGTGGGACCCGGTGGCTTAAAACTCACGCCGGGCGCGTGTGCGTGCGTGCCCAAGATCCCGAGAGGAGAATGGAGGAGAAGGGATTGCGGCGTGACCATCCCCCCTGGGGGGTGATTTCTCGCTTTCTGTCTCTATATCTCTCTCTGTCTGTCTGGCGAGCGCACGTGCCCTACAGTGAAAATCTCTCAAAAAAAAAAAAAAAGTCCGGCTGTTTTTTTCCTATTTCCAAAATCCTTTACAGAGGGCTTGAGGGTGGGGGAATTGACTGATAAACATTAACAGATCATTTTTGCCAATTATCCTGTCCTTGGCATAGTATCTTTTTTTTTTTTGGAGAAGCTTTTGCTATAGGGCGTGTGAGCTCACCAAAAAGACAGAGAGAGACAGAAAGCGAGAAATCACCACCACCACCACCCCCAGAGGGGATGGCCAAGCTGTAATCCCTTCTCCTCCATTCTCCTCTTGGGATCTTGGGCACGCATGCACACGTGCCTGGCATGAATTTAAGCCACCAGGTGTGGGACTTCAACCATGGTTGACTACATGGGAGTCTAGTAACGAAGTTAGGCTAACTGCTGGTCCCTTGGCATAGTATCTTTTTGGTGTATACTAAGCCTCCTTATCTCTTTTAAAGTATATTCTTTTGCTGATCTCTTCCCAGACATAGACCTTCCTTTCTAATTACCAACCTAAAAATTGTAAAACCCACCTATAACTTATAAGCCTCCGATTCCAGATATCCTACCTTTTCACACCAGACTGATGGAAAAACCCTTTTCACCTAATTCCAAACTTCCTCTCATTCTCAAAACCAAATAAAAGGAACTCCCTTATCTGAGAACCCGAGAAAGACACACTTGCTTCTCTCTGGGTTGACTACTCACACTCATGCTTAGAAATAAACCGCACTAATTATTATTCTACAGAGTTGGTTATTTCTGTTGACACTAGAATAACATTTGCTTGTCCACCCAATTTAAAGCAGATCCTCTCTACTATTCCCCTTCTAGCACCCTATTTTTTCTTTAGACCACTTACCACAATTTATAACTGTCTTTTGTTTATTTTTTCATTGTTTATCTTTCCCACTAAATAATCTACATGAAGACAGGGACCTTATCTGTCTTTTCCATCACAGAATATGAGCACTCAACACATAGCACCCGACACATGGTGCCTAACACATAGTAGATAATAAATATTTATTAAATACCAGTATAAATGCTTTGGAAGTTAAAAAGTCATATATTATTGCCCATTCTTGCCAGATACTAAACTAGGCCCTTTACACATATTTCTGACTTAATTCTTAAGAGTAGTTCATCCATGAAGTAAGTATTATGACACTTGAGAGTTGAAGAAATTGAAACTTAGAACCAGGGCCAGCTTCATGAGTGTGGAATCTATGTAGTTACACAGGTCTCCAAGCTCAGAAAGACCCATGCTTAGTTTAGTGCTCTGCTGTTGCTGTGTTGAAATTCTTAATATTTGAATGAGTGGTCCTGGGTTTTCATTTTACACTACACTCTGAAAATCATGTAGCCAGTCCTGCTTATAATATTAGGTAACTTGTCCAGTGCTAGTAAGTGGCAGAGACTAAATTGAGATTCAGGTTTGTCTGATGTGCTTAAATACTATATTCGGTAACTTTTCATCTTCTATAGCTAGAAAAAATAACCCAAAGGAGTCAGTCATCAAATACAAACTTCTATTAAGTAAACATCTAAGCCAGCATTGCCCAAACTGGTGTTCCTTAGGACATTATTCTGCAAGATTTTAATAGAGCTGAGAAAAAGGTGTTTGTTCTATGGTCAAATCAGAGAGGAATGCACTCTCAGTCCTCTTAGAATCATATTAGCATATGAAAGGCACTTATATTAACATAAGAAAGGGGTTTAACTCCCCTACCAAAAAGAAAAAAAATTGTTTAACTTTGCTTAATCCAACATTTTCTGGCCTTAGAGGGTGACAGAACCCTTTTCTAAGAGCAAAATCATTAACTCTTAGAAGACAGTGTTCCGTAGAACTAGATTTGGGGAATGCTTATTTAGATAGAGCTGGCAAACATTTCTGTAAAATTTCATAAGTTTTTCAGTTTTTGTTGCAGTTACTCAACTCTGCCAACTTTGGCATGAAAGCAGCCAGAGACAATACATAAAGGAATAGCTGTGCTCTGGTAAAACTTTATTTACAAAAACAGGCAACTGGCTGGATTTGGCTCACTAGCTACAGTTTGTTGACCCTGATCTAGATAATGTGAGAAGAGGACTGGTCTTTTCTCATAATTTAAATCACTTTACCTGGCTGCTGACCACCACCATCAGTAGCACTCCCAGTATGAGGGGACTTCAAAAAGATGGAGGAAAAAATAGAATAAGTACAAGTTTATTTTGGTGCAAAAACATTTTGAAATCCATGCACAGTTTTTTCATAATATGAATTATCCATGAACATTTTGAAGACCCCTTGTATTCAAATACCTATTCAAATATATCTCATATGATACAGAAGTCCTATTTGTTATGGCCATCTGGGGCTTCATATGTACTAACAAAGGAAAAAACATCAATGTTTTTTTAAAACAAGGAGGAGTTTGAGATATGAGTGGGAATGCGCTTCTGGGTGCATGGGAAACAGTATTCTAAGAACAGAAAAAGAAGGCAAACCAGAAAAACTTCTACCTGTAAGCTCCCTCCAAGAAAATGAAGCCAGAGAACTTGAAGTAGCTGTGGGAAGCAAAGAGCTGGGGTTAGGAGCAGTACAAATATAACTTCATACCAAAACATGAAATACACAGAAATTCAGCCACAGTTCTACAGCCATTCATGTTGTTCTCCAACAAAAACACAAAACAGAATGTTAGTTGTATTATATCTTTTCTATTTTTTCTTTTTTGCAGAGGTTTTTGCTATAGGGCATGTGCGCTTACCAGAAAGACAGAGAGAGACAGAGAGACAGAAAGCGAGAAATCACCCCCTCCCCGAGGGGATGGTCAATCCACGATCCCTTCTCCTCCATTCTCCTCTCTGGATCTTGGGCACGCACTCACACACACCCAGCGTGAGTTTAAGCCACCAGGTTCGATATTCGAACTGGGGTCGACTACATGGCAGTCCAGAGACATAGCCATTACACCAACTGCTGGTCCCCACATCTTTTCTAACTTACCCATAAAAGTATTTTATAGCTAATGTCTAACAGAGTAAAACATAAGAACTTCTTCTACATATATTTAGGGGGTGAACATTTAAGTTTATATAGTCAATAAGGAAATTTTTGAACATAAACTTAAAGGGGCATACATTATTTTAAGAAACTGCTTTCTGGTATTTTTCTTTCCATCTAACACTAGCCTATTGCTACTATTGAGGCTTCTGTTAATGCTAACTTGTTAATATGAAGGGCCTTCAAAAAGTTCACAGACAATGCACATTATGAAACAAATATGCATGGGGACCAGCAGTTAGCATAATGGCTATGTCGCTGAACTCCCACATAGTCGACAGCAGTTCGAGTCCCAGACCCGGCGGCTTAAACTCACGCCAGGCGTGTGTGCGTGCATGCCCAAGATCCCGAGAGGAGAATGGAGGAGAAGGGATTGTGGCGTGGCCATCCCCCCTGGGGGTGTGATTTCTCGCTTTCTATCTTTCTGTCTCTCTCTGTCTTTCTGGCGAGTGCACATGCCCTATAGCAAAAACCTCTTCCCCCCCCCAAAAAAAAATGCATGGATTTCAAAATTTTTGCACCAAAATAAACTCACATGTTAATTCAATTTTTTTAGTAAACTCTTTGTAGAAAAGAATAAGGTATTGTTGAATACTAGTTCAACAGACAGAAATAATAACTTACATCCAAATGCATATACATATGCACACACTGAATCTAAACACTTGCACATGTAAGTATATAAATAAAAACACACAACACACAAACTCCACATTCCTAGTTTTTTATAATTTTCACACCTTTACAACCTCTATAAGCAAGAGTGAGACTAATAATAGGGCGAAATGTGCGACTAAATGGCTGGTGACGGATGGGAGGAAGCAGGGTTTGGAAAGGCAGACATTAGAATGTCACTGAAATGGGCAAGCAAGTGAGCTGTCTGTTGAGGATAACTATTTTCTTTCTATTCCTCACAACTAAATATTTCTTGGAATTTAGGAATCAGCTACAAGGGGAAGGATTCCAGCAATCTTCACCCTTTGCTCTTTTCTACTGTCTCCTATGAAAAGCTGTGGCTAGAGCAAAGGGAAAAGACTTAGAGACTGTTAAGATTATACATAGTTCGGGGTTTAAAGAAAACAACAGAAACTACAGTTGTCTCTTCTCATTTTTCTGTCTTATCCTCACTTTGGGCAACACAAAAAAATGTGGAGACAGTTTCAAAAGATTATATATGGGTAAATTTAGTATCCATGTAATATCTTCATATATACACACACATATACACACCCAACACAATTTTAAAGATTCATAAAAATACCAAAGGTTATGAGGAGAAGAAGAGGGAGAAAGAGAATGAACAGGCTAACCTAGAATATACCATCTTTTACTTCAGTTACTCACCTTTTTCTTCAGACAATAAACTCCAGGTACAAGCAGGTTCCATATCTTTTCTTTTTTTCTGACTGTTCATCCTGACAAGTCAAGAAGGCTATAATCCAAAAGAGAAATGATGACTGCAAGGCCTAGTGGCTGCTCAGAATAAAAAAGTAATTCTCTCAGTTTGCATGGATTCAAAATATTACAGAAGTGGGAAAGAGAGAAAGCCCAATAACCAATAAGATAGCAGAGGTGCGAATGGAGGGATCACATAAAAACAGAACAAAACTAACACTCTTCAACTTGAAGAGAAAAAAAGTTAAAGGAGTATAGAATGTCTATAACATTTTAAAGGGTATAAATATGGGGTATGTCAAACTGGGCTCTGAATTCCATTATTAAAGAAGCACAGAATTTAGGGAGTTCTATCTCTGGAGTCAAGATAAGTAAGAATGACTATGTTTTTCTACAACGTATTTTTGGTGCTATCAGTAAAGGGAGAATTCTAAGACTATAGATTGGAATAATGTGGTATAAGAGAAATAATCTAGAGAGTCAAGAGACCTAAAACCGTATTCATTTTTATGTATGGATCTTGATTAATTCATCTTCTTTTTGGGTTTCTTTTATTATTACATTTTCAAAATGGCTGAGAGAATGTTAAACTAGATCACTTTCCAAGTTTAACACTATAAGATCAATGCATGCAGTCTTAACCATAGATTAGAATCACCTTCATACCACCCTTCAGAATTTTTTTTCCTTCTTCAAGATATTACTTATTGGCTTCTTTTTAAAAAGAATTATTTTGTATAACTTTATTTATTTATTTTAATCTGACCAGAGAGTGAGAGAGCAAAACAGCAAGGGAAGGGAGAGTAAAGAAAGCAAGCTGCCAGGACCAGGACTCAAACCACAGTCGGCCATGTGGGAGTCTAGTGCCCTTAACCACCACACCACCTGCTGGTCCCCTTATCACTTTCTAACATATTTGTTAATTTACTTATATGCTATGCTTATTGTTCTTTTTCATAACTGCTCACCTAAATCGAATTATTGGCCCTGATCCTCAGCCTTTGTCATGAAAATTTTGCAATCAATTCCACACAAAAAAAGTGGAGCTCATTTTTTTACCTCTTGTCTTTGAGCTCAGCTGTGAGACTTGCTTTGGACGTGTCCTCTCTTGTGATTCTGTCACTGTTACAAGAAGAGCCACAAGAGAAATAAGTCCCAGCTAGTTCACTGGCCCAAGGAGAGTGAGAATACATGAAGCAAAGCCATCCCAGTTTACTCACAGTCCTGCAGGAAGAAACTAGAGCCACCAGTGGGAACAAGTTGCCCAACAAAGCTGTCCAGGTCAGCTGAGTACCAGCTTACCTCCAGATCTGTGAGAATAAGTGCTTAATTTTTTCAGTGCCATGGAAATGTTGTTTTTACTGTTGTTTCATTGTGGCAATGGCTACCTGATACAACTTGCTAGCACATAAATGCCAAAATATTTGGTACAGAATAGATATTCATTAAATATTTACTGAATCAATTGGATAATGAATACAAGCTTTTAAAAAATCTGATGACTGGGACCAAAGGATGGCTTACATCACTGGGTCCCATATAGTAGACCATGGTAGAGTCCTGGACCCGGCAGCCTAACCACAGCCAGACACATGTCTGTGTATGCCCAAAATCCAGAGAGGAGATTGGAGGAAGGGATTGTGGCATAGCCATTCCCTTGGGGGTTGATTTCTTGCTTTCTGTTTTTCTCTATCTCTTTGGCGAATGCACACGCACTATAGCAAAAATATCTCTCTCAAAAAAAAAAAAAATCAAATGCCTAGTCTGCATTCCTGATAAATTAAATCTGAATTTTTGCTGATGAAGACTGGCATCATTTAAAAAACAAATTCTCCAAGTGATTCTAATATGCAGCCAGAGAAGAGAGCCACTATTCTAAGATTTGGTTATTTTTGATAGAAGTGTATTGGTTTGCTGATGTAATGTACTGGTGAAGCTCATCAACTTTAGAATCAAACAAATGTGTCTAAGCCCTAAGTCTACCACTTACCGACTGTGTGACAATAATGGTATTTTGAGTGGGACAATTTGTCCTTTAGCCTCCTTAGTCCCCATCTTCTAAACACTAGTGGGACTTCCCACACACACACCAATGAACTGTGACAACCAAAAGCACCTCTGGGTATTTTCAAATGTCTTTGAGTTCAGCTGTGAGACTTGCTTTGGACATGTCCTCTCTTGTGATTCTGTCACTGTTACAAGAAGAGCCACGAGAGAAATAAGGGTATTGAGGCTCAAATTGAGGATCTATGGTATAGGCAATCTTACTTATGAACACACATACAAAAATGCTACAAAAAATTAGTCATTCAAATCCTACAGTAGATTTTAAAAGATTCATCACACCCCAGTAGGTTATTTCAATCTTTCGGGGAAGATTTAAAATTTAGAGATCTATCAATGTGGAACAGGGCACTACTTACTTGGAAAGTTGGCAAT